GTCCCCCCATCCCTTACATTTTCCCCACATACTGCACATGTACATTTGTATGTGTCTGAACACTGTCTACACATACATGTACATTACATGCTCAGTACACAGGTACGTATGTACTGTATGTACTACAGGGCAAGTACACAATACAACTCAAAAATTTAACATTCAACTTTTATAATTTTTTTTATAAAATTCATAAGTTTCTAAGCATTAAAGCCAGATGAGACTATTTAAATACTGATGGAATTCCAAGACGAAGCAAACAAGCACTCATTTGGCACATTTAAACACCTATGGACCTGCAAGGAAAAACTTTAACATTTGAGGGCGGACGGCCGGACGCCCCGATGGACAGAAGATAGAAATCAGTATTACATATGCTGGCACTTGCTTCACACTTCGCAGCTAGCCAAAAATGACATTTTCGTCATTAATTGATTGATTGAAACACAAGGAGGGTTCTGGAATACAGATAGATCAGGGGTTCGCCAAGTCTGAAAGCAAACAAGTAATAAGCAGTTTGGTTGCCCAAGATATCACTACCGATAACTTTGCATATGGAGTGATGAGATAACTCAATCAAGTTGAAATGTGCACACAGCTCTTTCATGTTACGAGCCCTAGAAAAAATCTTGAACCATTGAAATCACTTGAACCTCTTAGCAATTTGAAGTACACGTATGTGCTGTATTGTTCCACAGTTGAGAAATGTCCAGAAATGGAGTGCTGTAACTGTACTAATGTGAAGAGTCAAGTGAAACATGTTCACATGCAAATGTATCAAAACTACACTCTAGGCCTATGCACCAGAACCAGGTATCCAAGTGCCCGCCTGCTGATGTTGGGAACTGGTTCCAAATTATAAGACTTGCAACCTGCAGGCAACTGACACAAGTTACAAAGCAACTTTCAGACAAAGGAAAACAAACGTTTGAATAGGATTTGGGCTGCACATTTTCAAAATGAAAATCACGTCACATGAAACCACATACATGTATAATGTTAAATAGATTTCATTTTTATATTTCAAGGTTGTTTAGTGATGTTTGGGTAAAAGAACAAAATTGATGATTTCTCAATTTCCTTAATTCTGTGGTTACAAAAGTTTTCTTACGGGTACCAATTTCACTTCAATACGATACCACGTTCATGTACAACCTCTAAATTATGCTCATCACTACATGAAACACTGGTACAAGAACAAAATACTCATCGTGTCAGATCTGCATGTAGTCAAAATGCACCATGCACTTACGGCCATTGTCCGTGTGAACCCCACCACACCGTGCTTAGTGGCTGTGTAGACCGGGCATAGTGGTCCCAAAATCAAACCTGCCAGTTAGAGAGCAATGCCACGGATAAGCGATCAGGGTTTCAACTTTAAATACTGTTCGCAGAGTGGCAATGAGAAGTGCGGTTTGCGATGCAGGAATTTAAGTTGTCATTGCGTCAATTCTGTATGCAGTCGAATCAACGGTCAGCATGGGGCAGGACTTTCGGCACTAGGTGCACTTGTTTCCATGAGTATTGTCCCCAACATCTGAGAAACTGAAGCATGAAGATGACAACAATTGCGCACATGAAATAACAGGGTTGCATAAAGCCAAACATTTATTTATTTTATATGTGTTCATCCAAGAGCGTATTTAGCACCAATTACAGGATGAAGTGACAGTTAAGAAGACAATGAAGAAATGTTCAGTTTTAGAGGTGGGAGGAAAACCCTGGATAACTATTCCAGGGAAACTCGCGGAATCAGGCAGGGACTGCAAACCCAATCCACATGCTGACCTAGGTCGGATTCGAACCCGGGTCACAGAGGTGGAAGGTGGAAAAAGTGCCACTACACCAACCAAGGACTCATCCTTGATAAGCATCATCAGGCAGTGAGACAGCCAACTCAACCATTTTGCACTGAAAGCAGTTCTGGATATGTGGATGGTGATCTGGACATCTGTACAGGTACATAAACACACAGGTCATGGTTGAAATGTCAAGTGCACCTCAAAACAACTCTGACTGACATCTGAACACACTAATTCCCCGTTTGTTTCGTACACACACAACATGAAGTCTGTGGAGGCAGACCAGGTGATGAACTCGAACTTGGCCACTGTGCACGGAAAATTAAAAAATATGAGGCCGTGGTAAAAGACACTGCGAATACTGTTCGAATGCACTCGTGTGAATCATTATTTATGGCATCTGGCTGTACATGTATCTAGGATGTTGGTCACTAATGTTGCCCTTTTTGGAGGTCAAACTTTTAGGCCAAAAATAATATCCCCGGCAAGAGGTAGAAAGTCGCCTACAGGAACAGACAACTTACCAGCCATTGAGGCAATGTTGATAACAACACCACCCGATCCGCCATTCAATTTGCTCAAGTATTTCCTAGCCAGGTAGGTGCCTTGGACAACTGCAGCCTGCAAGTGAATGGACAAAACATTCCCAGGGATTATGTGTCCACAACTTTCCTGCATTCCAACTGACCTGACGAACCAACATCATGTAAAATGTTAATTATTTCAATTATTTTGTTGTGATCTAAAATCAACAAAACAAAAGTAAAACAAAACCAAAAAGCCGTTTTACTGATGTACGTTGACTCATGTAAACAAAAATAAAGGAAAATAGGGAAAAGCTTTTCAGCACGGCTCACTTCCAAGTTCCTCGACAAACCATTGACGATCTAGCTAGGCTTTAAGTACTTTGACATTAAGCCATACATTCCATCAGTATTAAAAGGGTTAAATTGCCAAGGCCATGTACATGTAGCATGAGACATAACCCCGGGAACATGTTGCCAATTTTATTCTTTCTAATTTCAGACCATTTTCTCAGGGATTGAAAGTACCAAAATTTTAGAAAAGCAACCAGATACTTCCACTTTTTGTGAGGGGGGGATTCTTTCAAGGATAAAAACAGTGGACAGCCATGTTTGGAAAAGCTTCCATTATGCACCCCCCGACTGAGCCCTTGATATATACGCCAATGGTTTTGGGTCTGTTTACCAAGTTTATGTCTATCATCTGTCTCCATTTCCTTTCGTCTCCTATGCCTGCATTGTTACACACAATGTCCAGTTGGCCAAACTTCTGTTTTGTTTTCTTGAAAGCATCTGAAAAAAAAGAACAATGATTAAATCTGAGAAATACATGTCTTGCAGTAATTTTACTCACGTTAATACCTGTCATGGTTGGAGAGTCTTTTCAAAGTACAATACCATTATCTTCCTGAGCAGTTTTTTTGTTGTAATTCTAGAAAGCAATGACATGGTATAGCTGTAATGAATACGTCCATCATGTCCACACAAAATAAAGTGTAAAGTCATCTTCGCATAAATTGTTTGCTTCATATTTTTGGCTCTATGAACTCTATGCACCAACTCTTGAAGAGTACCAAAAAGGGGTATAGACATTGATACTATGCTCTTCACTTCACAAATGTAAAGCAACTGTTTGTTTCACTATTTGTTATACTATGCATGTGTGTAAAAGTTGTCATTTGCTTTTCTCAGTCCAGCATAAAATCACAACACAAAGCTGTCACATTCTGAATTAGTTTTCAACTGCAGATGTTCAAGGACGTCTTACAAAGTGTTCTTGGCATTTGGTAGGGTATTTATTTCTTCATATTAGAAACACCAGCATTATATTACATAAGTTAAGAATTTTCTCCATCAAATAAAAGAAAGACCAGTGCTTTGTGATTATTGTACACCGACCATAATGTTATTTCATGGGAAAAACTGTTACATCACTTAACTGTATGCAACACAAGTGCCCATTGTGGTTTGGCTAAAATGAGCCCGTGCGTTGTGATATTTACACTGTTATGGCAAGACCACCCCAAATTAGTCTGGATATTTCATGTCACCATATCTGCAACCAACCAGCCAATCAGATGTTGAAGATTTACCGTATTCGGCCATTGTATAAGTTACTGAATGACCTTGCCTCATCAAAAAATTGAGCTGGCCTATAATGTCACTGTTGCTATGCGCCCTGCCCAACTTGAAGACAACTTTGTACATGCTTGTACAGCTAAGCAACACACAGCAACCTTCACGTAAACCAGTCAGTACATGCTTCAAGGGAGTACTGCACCTTCCAGAATTATACCGTAATGATTTACCTTCCAGCTGTTGGTCTGATGTGACATCACACTGGAGGAAGACAGCCTTGTTGTTGCCATATTGCGAAGTGAAGTGACGTGCCGTCTCCTGTCCCTTTTTATGGTTTACATCGGCTATTCCGATCCCCTGCAAAGCAAGGAATGCTGCTTAAAAAGTAATCAAAATCAAAACTGCATGATGAATATTGACAGAAAACACAATAAAACCTGTGACAGAAATGGCCCCCTCCCCACTTTGGGCCCTCCTCTAAAGAGTTGTATACAGTGATTCCATTTTAGAAGAATCTTGCCATCACTGTATGCTCAATTGTTAGTTTCGTTCTGGAAGTTACATGTAAATGGCAGCAGCTGTAAGCAATGGCTTTTTAAAACTTGTTTTTTTCCGAAAAAGAAAAAGTGTTTATACATTCTAAACAGTCTTATGGAAATGACAGGGGATGCTAGAAGGTGGTAGTACTGCTTTTTTCCTGGCATATCTCGGCTTTTGATAGTCATGGAGGAGTGCCAAGGGCTGCCGTTTAATAGAGTACATGCACATGAATGGAAGAAGTACTCAACTGCAGCTCTAGACTGACAGTCAACATTGGATGGAATCAACTCTGTGGCATCTCTGTGATAACTGGCTCATGCAAGGGCAAGGGACTCCACAAACAGCTTCCATTAACATTTGGTCAAGATTATGCAATTGGCTTTGAAAGCCAAACAATGCACTTGTTTTGTAGATGGTCATAGTTGTGTGTTTAATAGGCTTTACTTGTGCCAAATGGCCTTGTTATTATTCCCAAACTACACACCATCAATGCCAACTAAGGAATGTGCTGCAGTTGGTTGCAGTTGGTTTGGCCCACCTCTAGTCAAGTAATTTCTGTCTACACAGAGCACTTCTCCATCTTCTGCAGGGTTTTGACAAATAACTTACATCTGACAAAGAACATTCTAATTTTGACATTTCATCCATGACACAAACCAAAACTACAGTTTGCTAGCACGTGTTGTATGACAGTGCTATAATGTCCACTGGCAAACCATGCTATGGTTGGGCTGGACCAATTACAGTAGCAAAGTTGGGGAAATTACACAGCCCAGTTATTGCATCTGAAACCAAACAGCGCAAATCCTCATAGTACTGGACAACATGTACATATTCTAGAACACTGCAGGTAATTCTTTATAGGTCACATGGCGTAACTTTGACACTGTTAAACGGTTGGGAGCACCTTTGTATTCAAGTCCATCACACTTGCCCATCAGGAGTCCATCACAAGTCATTCTGTCTTTGCTGTTCAAATGAAGTGTGACAAATTTAGCATTGTTTTGTCATTGTTCTCTCTGCTACTTATGACTAGCCTTGTGAAGGGACTTGTGGAAGGACTTGTGATAGACTCGAATACAACACTGGTTAATTGGTACTTATCAGATGACAAAATAGAGACCAATATTTCACAAACAGGATTAGGAACAGTTTGGGGACTAAAGTTTGGCCAGGCATATTAATGAACTGCTTAGGTGAATGAAGTCATCATGATAAGAACAAGGCCAGGCGCTTTTCCACAAGGTACATTTGTACAAGCATTTCATTGATTTTTTTCTGGTTTGGGCATAGTCTGTCCAGTTGGCTGGCCCAATGTCTGTGACCGTATGCATGTAGGTCCATGACTGGCGATGTCCTTAATTTTGCCACCTATGGTCATGTTTGATTGGCTTTCACAATACAGTAAGTGACGAAATAAAGGACCCGGCAAGGGTCATAGTATGTAGCCCAACTCGGAGTGGCTACTGTCACAGAAGTCTACACAAATTTCTGTCC